AAATAAATAAATAAGTAAAAGTTAGTTAGTCAGAAGCACAGATTTGGTTCCTCACTTCTCGCTGCACTCCAGCTTATTGTATGGATTCGTTAAATTCCATCAGGAGCCACTGATTTCATTTAATGAAAGATTGATTAGATAAAGTAAGTATTGGATGTACTTTGGAAATGGATAAACCAACACATTCAATCTCAGCAAATCGCTGTTTTTTTTATTTGTTTATATGCATTTATTAGTTTGTTTTTTTAACAAATAAATGTTTATTAAATGTAAATAGTTAGATATTATTTTCTTAATGTGTAAAACTTTTGCACAGCACTGTTTTTTCTATGGATATTGCTGTACTGGTTGCAAGAATAGGAATGTAAGTACACACAGACATCAGTAGCTGCCCTTCAGTTCCTCTTAATTCAGAGACATTGTTCTCTAGGAACTAGCGTGCTTGTAGAACTGCAAGAAACATCACAAAAAACAAAAGTAGTTCTTAACTGCTCTAGGGCACTTTGCGTTCCTGCAGCTCTTATCGGATCATGTTGTGCGTGGACGTGTTCTCCAAAGCTGCCAAGTTCTGTACCCCACGATATCTATTTTGACAGTCGTTAAAGTTAGACTCTGAAGAACAAAGGTGCCTTGAAGCCTGTGACAGATAACCATTATTGAGAGGCTCTTGTTTTCCTTTGTAGCCGAGTGTTGGGGGAGTATTGTTGGGTCTTAATTGCGGTCTTAAGAAGGCAGGTCCATTAGAGCAGAGTCAGACTGGGATGTGTCTGACAGTGCCAGCATTTGCAGTGGACGTTAATTTCAGGGTCACGGCACTTGAGGCAGGCATCTCTTTCTCTCTCTCCCTCCCTCTCTCACTTTTTGCGCCCACACTTCTCTGTGTGTGGCTGACATCTGGAGCCGGTATCATCCCGATGGGTTTTGGAAACAGACCTGTTTTTATTGGGCCTTTCGCTTCTGTTGGCTTAAGTGCCAGTGCATTAGAATGGCCTCCGCCTGGTTTTTATAGCAGTGATGGCCACAGTCCAGGCTTGAGTCTCTCTTTGAGAGCCTCAGTGAGGAATTGCTACAACTGGCAGTTGAGGATAGTGAGAACAAAAACAAACCAGTTTTGAGTAGAGTTGTTAAAGTTAGCATGTTCATAACTTGTTAAAACGCTAAATTGTTAACATCACAATCATTTAACCTTTTTTTTTTTCCCCTCGTTTGACCCGTCATGCCATCCAACATTCTAGCCGTTTAATTCAGATACACCTTTTAAATGAGTTTAAAGTGATACACTGGACTGTGCTTGTGGAAGAGCTATGCGTAAATTATCAAGCAGCACACCAACAAAAGCACCAGTAAAGTGGACAGTAGCTCTAGTTACTCTTGAGAGCCTCCGCTATAACAAGACTCTATGAGCTGTATGAATGAGAACAAGAGGCTGCAATTACAGAGCAGTTGAACCATAGACTGTATATATGGCATGTATGATATATACACTCAGTGGTTGGAACATGCAGCCACATGCTGTTCCTAGACATCCGTGATGACAATAGGAAACTGTGTTTACTCTGGAATGTGATTTTCATGTTCAGATTCATATTAATGCTGAGTTTTTGTTCGTTTATGTATCTATAAATAAACTGCACCGTTTTTGAAGTGTACAAACTTTTTTTTTAGGGTCAGCAACTAAGACAAATGTGACTAATCACAGTTAATTATTAGCTAATTTTTGACAGGCTTTGTAGTGACCATGGTCTTAAAATGGGATATTTACAAGACTTCAGCTAAGTTTCCATCAGTGTGTTTTATAGTGAGTCAGTACTTGGAAACAGCAGATATTGAATAGATTTTCCAAATTTTGCGTAATAGTTTATATGCTCCCTTGGGGTGGATAAACCTTCTGCTGGTGAAAAATAAATGCAATAAATTGCTAAAATTTGCTGAGTAGAAAAATTCTTATAACTGATTGTGTTTTTGCTTTCGTGTCCAGTTAACAGCAGGTACTAGTTTAATTAAAAAAAATAGATTTCAGATGATAAACAGATAAAGGATGCTTGCTGCAGATCTTGAGTCATTATTTTTGCCTCTAAACACTTTCCGTATTTCTTGGTGGTTTTACTAAAGTGATGTAGAGAATGAGTGCGTTTACATGCACTCAATAATCCGATAACTGCAGATCATCAGATTTTGGCAGTAATCCAGTCAACACTTTTACATGCACTTGAGTAATCAGATAAATGGAAAATATGAGTCAGTCAGTAATCAGATTTCTGCTTTGCAACCAGCCAATAAACTCACAGAAATCTGAAAGAAATCAGAGTAAGAGTTTACATGCACTGAGAAATCTGATTACTGAGCTAAAATCCAGCTCTTTTTATCAGATTTCTTAATCAGATTTCTAGATTGGAGTATGATGTTTGCATGACCATTTGAATTATTGGATAACTGAATTGAATTATTGGAAATCCGATTATGAACGGATTATTGAGTGCATGTACACACACTGTGTTTTGTTGTACAGCACTGGAAGAAAAGTATTATTTGTATATATTTGTGACATTTGAATTATTTGCATGGCTTGTGTTTGCTAACATACAATTTCTACAGAGTTCAGAGTTCAGCCTGCATCAGCTATGACCATGTTTCTTCAATTTATTGAAACAACAGTTCAGAGTTTGTGAAGTGTAAATTAGTATAATCTGCTGGCTGTGCAGTCCTAGCTGTATTTTGTGTTGATACTGCTGTAGACTGATGTGTTATTGGTGTCTTTCTCTCTTAGATGAATGTTAGTACTGTGCGGGAAAACCTTCCAAAAGGGGATTTCTCCATAATGACGGAAATGCTGAAGAAGTTCCTGAATTTCATGAACCTCACAGTAAGTATGGTGTTAGTGTTTGTGTGTTTGCAGTTGTAGTGTTGTGGTATTTGCGAATATGTAATGGCTGATTTTGAATTTGTTTTACTTGCAGTGTGACATTGGCACGACGGGGCAGAAGTCCATCTCTCGGGTCATCGATTATCTGGAGCACTGCTAATGCATCAGCAGAGCGCACCTTTTCTCACATAAACACGGACACACATACACGCCTTGCAGAACGCGATGCAGAGAGCAACCCCTGAGACCACCAGCACCATGACGTCTTTAGTCACCTCTTTCCCGGTCCTCCTCCTAAAGACCCCTTGCTGCGCTTTGAGATGGCGGTCATGTCCCACCGGTACTGTGGGGTGAAACATTTTGAATCAATCTCAGAGGAACATTTGTTTGTTGTTTCTTAGCAGTTTTTCAGCGCGGGTCAAACGGGCTTCTGTTCCTTCAGTTTTTTTTTTCTTTTTTCATTTTTATGTTTTGCTTTTTAATCATAAATTGACAGCAGTACAGCAGGGAAAGACTATCAGAATTCTCTCCTCGCTTCTCAAAAAATCCCATTTTCTCATTGTGCCCTGCAAGAATGCTACTGTGCTATGCTGGGTCGCTTTAGTAAAGATCTGTTTTTCTTTAACCCCCACGATCAATAACTTTCACTGTCAGTGCACCGTGGCGCCACAGACGATGGATGGCTTTGATCGAGCACCGCTCAGACTTGCGAATAGCGGAGGTTTTGCCCCATTTTCCCTCTTTGAATTTTAAAAGCGGAGGGCGCCAACCTGGTTGGTTCCGAGACTGAATCTGAGATTTTTTATGTAATGCTGAATGCTGTGGCCTTCAAGTCCACACTGATTTTTCCTCTGTGATCCCACCCTGTTTAGGGATTCTGATGTCTCACGGTGAATAAATTATTTCTCTGCTCGTTGAGTGGGCTAAACAGAGGGAAGGGATGGGCTTTTTTAACAGCCTTACAATGTGGAAATGGGCTAAAAGACGTCATTCCTAATCTTGGACATTTTAATCTTCGGAAAGTCACTGAGAAACTGACTCTAGCAGTTAAATCATGCAGCGTACTGCCATGACAGACCTGATCCAAGCTAAGCATGGTTACCTTAACCCTCCAGCTTTCTGTATTCTCATGTAGTTCAGTGAACACAAGCCCACGTCAGTCTTGCAACGTGCTCAGCTGAAGTTTTTGTTGGTATACCTTTTTTTGTTTCTTAATTAATAATTTATTCTGACAGGGCTAAGCATGCTTTATGAAATGTTGTCATAAAGCTGTTTGTGTCCTCTTTTCATAGGCCAGTTTTTTAAACACATCTGAAATGTAAATGCGTACTTTTTGGGTTTTTTACATCGTATTCAGAGTTAGCTCCTACAAAGATATCCTTCAAAGATAAGCTTCATTGATGCCATTTTCAACAAGCTATGAGTTCACCGTAACTTTTATTTAAAATTTTGCTCTTCTTTGTTAGCCATACCCACAATGCATATTCCTCATCCATTAAAGTGTCCCTTTTGATGAAATTTGAAATTGATGTACAGTAAGGCATTCAAAATCTTTATTTCTAATTTACCTTCTTTTGATGTGTTTTTCCAAAATATCTTTTTGTTGTTTTTCTGTTTGTCGCCTGCTGCAGACTGTTCCGTTGGTCCACGGGCTGTGTCCAGAAACAATGTCATTGTGCATATGTGCGTGTATGTTTCCTGTCAGGGCTGTATCAAACATGCTAAACATCCCAATGGTTTTTCAAACTCACAAGTTCTGGAAATGAATGGAACCACACAAATGTACATATTCCTGTAAATATTGGCTATTGGAAATCTAGAACGATAGACTACTTTTCAGAATCCGATCTTATTTTTATTTTATACAGCATTTTTCTCAGTTGTGTTTGAGGTGAAATTTAAAGAGGCATCTGCAGGAACCTGAACTTTGTACCAATTTCAGAAATGATGTCTTTGGTTACTTGTACATAATTTTAACTCAAATAAAAATTGCTACTTTCAATACATCTCACTGCCGTTTGCTCGTTTTCTCGGAAATCACTGCGGCGAGTTCAACACGAGTCATCTAGTTTTCTTTGTTTTTTTTTTTGTTTTTAAAAAACATTTTATTTAGTCTTTATGATTCATGGCTTGATCATTTCACCATCATTAAATTATCACTAACAAAGTGCAAAAATATAGCCTACATTTAAACAAAAATAGCATATGCTCTGGACTTGTTACTTGGCACCGTTGCTCCTTTCCCAGCAGTGCATGATGGCTTTCCTGTCCGTGTTCAGCCGGACAGTACCTGCAGCGTGTTCCCGCAGACTGTCCTGGTGTGCGGCGTCCTGTTCGGTGCTCTGCTCTGTTTTCGGACCTGGTACCGCTGTGGCCTGCCGCTGTCCTGCATGCTCCCTTTGTGCTGTGATGCGCCAGTGTCCATGCTCCTCACCTTGCAGCAGCTCACTCAGCGTGCTAATGTAGATCTGCGCCATCTGGAGTGTCTCCGACTTGGACAGCTTCCTGGCGCTCTCCACGTTGGGGATGACACTCCTGAGCCTGTCGAAAGCCACGTTCAGGCCCAGCATCCTCCTGCGCTCCCGTGCATTGGCCGCCAGCCTCCGCCGCCTGCGTGCCCTGGCCAAGGCGCACTGGTCCTGCTCGGCAGCCTCGCATCGAGCCCTAACCTCCAGCCCATCCTCCGTCCAACCACTGCACAACAGCGTCTGGTCCTCCTCACGTTCCCACCGGTGCTGAGGGTCACCGTCCCTCAGCAAGAGCGTCCCGTAAGAGCTGTTATGAGGCATCACGCTTTCCCCAGAGGCTTTCAACATCTCTTCTTGAGCTCTTTTGGGTGCAGAGGCGGTATTTATTGCCAAGCCCCGTCCATGTGTGGGGCTGCAAGGGGGGCGTGGTGCCGAGGGTCGTGTGCGGGCAGATGTGAATAGAGATGAAGAGTCCCTTTGATAATGACTGCGGGGAGTGCATGAACCGAGCTCATCAAAAGTGGATTAGGTGCACCTCAGCGAGCACTGGACGCGGCCAAACGCTGCGGTCCCCCGCGGCTGAGGGTGGAAACCTCGCAACCTGAAAGAAGTTAAAACCTTAAAACAAGTCAGGGGTTAAGAGAATGGACTGGTAAGTGACCAAATGAATGGTACAAAATTGTTTGCCCGCTCTGCGGAAGACAATGCAGTCTTGCATCGAAGGCAGTCCCGAAAGAAGAGTTCATTCAGTCGCAGTGGACAGGCAGCAGTGTGCTTGGCCTAATCCAATTATGCACTCCGCACACTTTCATCCAATTACATCAAGAGCATCCCCACTCCACAGTCTCTAATACGCCCGATAAACAAAAGAATATTTGATTCTGGCATGTGGGGCGAAGGTGGGGGGAGGGAGCCTTTACCACGTGTTGCGCCTGGACAGCGCTGGCACACTTCGCTTATTAAACCTAATGAACCGTCTCTTGGGGCAAAGGGCCCGGATGGCTAGATGAGGGGTGGATGTGTGCCTGTCAGAGCGAAACCAGCCGAAATGAAACCAAATTTTCACTCGCCGGAGGATTAGTGACAGGGGATGAAGTGGAGAAAGTGCTTCCTTTCAAAGCATGCCAGCAAGACCGCAGTGCGCTGCGAGCCCGGGCCAAACCCACCGGGCATAGTTATTGTTATCATGCACGATGACAGAGCCTGACTTGCTGTCATGATTTAATGTGTCTGAACTTGGTTGTAGTTTGCGAGAAATCAAATTTATGCATTTTTCCCCTTAGCCTGGATGCTTTGCTGCTTTAGTTCCTAACACATAATGACCTTAGCCTGTGTGTTCTAGTGCTAGAACAAACTTAAGATGCAAAACATTTGGGGTAAGGGGAAAGGTGCGGAAGTGATTATTTTTGCCGAACTATGGCTTTAAGAATAAAAAAGGAATCAGCAACAGGTGGAAGCAGCATTGGGCTCCAAGATTGCGCCAGTTTTTGAGTTCAAAAGTGCGTTGATTTAGAGTGGCATGGTAGAGCAAGTTTACTAGAGATGGCAGTGTCCTAAAGGACCAAACAACTACTAAGAAGTGAAGTGATGCTCAGTTGTTCAGTAGTAGTAGTAGTTGGAACTACTCTGAAATACTGGGCCCACTTTGAACCTACAGGTATCTGATTTGAGTTCCCATAGTTCTCTTTGTTTAACACATTGCTAATCTTGCTTTGAAGGAAAACAGTCTATAGGTACTTTACATCAACTATACTATAGGGTGTACCTCATTTGGAGAAGACCTACCCAAGCTTTTCTTTAGTTTGGTCCATTTTGACAGGTGTGAACCCATAGAACCAGGGTCTGCGAAAAAGTTCCAGGTGAACCCTGTTTCAGTGTGCTGCTGGTGGTAATCTTAAAAAATAAAGTTTTTACGATGTTGCACACCAAATGAGGGAATTCAACATCAGAGCAAAGCAGGTCAGTAAATATCCTGTTTTGACATCTGACTTTTATGGGCAATAAAATAACAGCGAAGAAATGCGACACATGGAACTCAGAATTTATTTTTGGCCAAGCATCAGCGACCTGCTTGGCTAAAGTTGGACTTTCAAATCAGTAAATCATAACAGAAGCAGTTATCAAGTAATGTTTATTGTTATTGCTTTGTGATACAAAGACGTTAAGCATCTCTATTTTCTATTTTTATGGTGGCGAGAAAAGTGCGGCGGATGCTATTTGCACCCTGTTGTAAATAGTAATGTATACCATTTACACCCATCTGTAACTTTCAGGGGTGTAGCGGAGGCCTACAGTTGTTCATCTTTTTAAGGTGTCTGTACTTCTTGGCTACTGCAGGAATGTGCCAGATGTCTTCATTTTGGGAGAATTTCATATGTAGTTCTTGACTTTTCCTGATAAATTATTCCACACTACCAAAATCCATATTGCCTGCTAGAAAAACCAGCATCATCACTGTCCAGAAAGAAAACATCTTTCATCATCAACCATTTTTTTCAATTTTTCTACATCCTTTGAGCACAGAAGCTGCCCTTTAGTTAAGTGACCCTTTTAGTCCCACAACTGGGAAATTTCACCTCCGCATTTAACCCATCTGTGCAGTGAAACACCACATACACACTAGTGAATGCACACACACTAGGGGGCAGTGAGCACACTTGCCCTAAGCAGTAGGCAGCCCTATCCACGGCGCCCCAGGAAGCAGTTGGGGGTTAGGTGCCTTACTCAAGGGCACTTCAGTCATGTACTGTCGACTCAGTGTATTGAATCGGCGACCTTCCAGTCCCAGGGCTGGCTCCCTAACCTCCAGCCCATGACTGCCCCCTTTACATTGATTGGAAAAAGTTCATGAGGAAAGAACCAATAGAAATGCTCCAATTGCTTCGAATAAAATCTCCTTACATGAACTTACATTAACAGGAAAGAACGTTTTTGCTTTGTCCTGTAAAGTTTCCATTTTGGAGAGACTTTTTGTTTGTTTGTTTTTTTGGACAGCAACAATATGTTGTGGTTGGATGCTGATATACTGGTCAACCATCATGACCATGCTGGGTGTCCAGCTAAACCAGCATATAACAGCTTAGACTAGCATAGCATACATGGTGGACTAAGCTGTTTTTTCCATGCAATTTGGCAAAACTGTCGAGTTAATAATCAGCTGCTAATCGAAAGCCAAGTTCCCATTCATTAGCCTAAATTTGTCAGATTGCATAAGGTGTGTAGCTCAGTTTGCTAGGACCACCGCTGCAAAGACATGACCAGCAAGCTATTAACTACATTAGCTAACGATTGAATCCAGGTGTCTTACAGCTACACACTTATAAAAGGTGGCTCTTCAAGGGTTCTTTAGTAAAGGCAGTCCTTCCATTCAGAACCACAAGTTCTGTATTGGACCATTTCATACTTAAAGAAGAATGAAAAATGGTTCTTTGCATGGTGAAATGGTTCTTCAGATTGATGTATATGATTCTATATAGAAAATAGAACCCTTTTTGTTGCTATATAGAAACAAATATAACACATTCTCCATTGAACTATTTCACCATGCAAAGAACCATTTAGGCATGAAATGGTTCTATATAGAACTCAAAACTCTTGCCAGGCAGCTGCTGGTAGACATGCCTACTTTTGTTTTTGTTGTTTTGTTATTTTAACCCCTTAAAATCCCAGGCTTATTACATACTATGGCTTAATATTCAGTAAATACACTGTTACAAATAAAGATACTGTGCAGGTACATTTTTCATTTATCAAGGTACAAACAATGTAAATGTTCCCTCAAAGGTACAGCAGTGGTTTTAAGGTCTAATCATGTACCTCAAATAAGTTTTTCCCAGAGGAAAGGTGCATATTTGTACTTTTCATAATCTATTATTTTAAAACAGAACAGTAAAATAAAAGCCTGGAGACGAGACGGGGTGTGTGGAGTCAATACAACTTAGAAAATATGATTTCAGTGGATTATGGTTCAGTTATGTTCCCTGACTAAAGGTACTGAGATGTACCCTTGAGGGTACCACCCCAGTGACAAGAGGGGGACTGCCCCAGTGACAGTTTAGAGAGTGTACAGGGACTTCAGTGCAAACTAGTTGAGCTATTCTTAGGTGGTAGATGTGTGTAATAAAACTTTGGGCCATCCAGCAGGCCCAGGCCTTTTAAGGGGTTAACACCATAAAGTTTGGTCAGTAGCACTCACTGCTCGACCTCAAACTCCATCTACGAGCACATCCGTTGGCTCACGAGCCGCTTAATGCTGCAGTTTTTTGCATGGATTATGTAAATGATAGGTAAATGAGGTGCTGGTAGGCTGGAGCTTTAACACTGACGCTGATTCATCATTTGAGCTCAAATCTGCTTGTTTCCACATCATACGGAAGTGTGAAGAACCAAATGCAGAGTCAGTCGTATGGCATTAGTCTGTCAAATCTCTGTTTATTTGTAGGCTTTAAACCAAGGGTGTCTAAGACCCAATCCCATTTCACCCCTCGCCCCTACCACTGAGCCCTTAGCCCTCTGTTTTGCGCATTCATGTCTAGGGTTAGGGTGTCCCAATTTTAGTTGAGATAGAGGGGTAGGGTGAAGTATTAGGGCTACATGGCCCTCCAAACGGAGGTTTTCAGAGACTCCAAACAGAGTGTTATGAGAAAAAAAGAAAAACCGGCAAGACGGCTGCGCTAGCGACCAAATAAACCCACAAAAGTGAGAATTTTCTCAGTTAAAAAATACGATAACCACTGTATTATCTTAGTTTAATGTCATTCCAATGTATTATGGTCCTTTTCTTCATAACAAGCATTAAAAATCGCTAATAGCATGCTAATTTCTCAGTAGCTAGCTAGCTAACTTTCCCGTTCCACCTTAAATAGTCCATTAGTTCTGACGCCTGAAGTGCCAGAATGTAACTGCTGCTCCATTTAAGGTGGAACGGGAAAATTCAAACAAGAATCTGGTGAATATCTAACTTCAGCTTCATTCACTGAAGAATTAGTGGTGGGTGATAATAAATAATTGCCCCCCTCTTTGAAATCATATGATGCCCTAAATGTAAACTAAAGCCCAGCAGTGAGGAGCTGAACTTTACCCTCCTCTGCTGTTACTGCAGATTGGCAGGGTCGCCTACAGAGCAGCGCTAGTAGCTGTTAATGAAGTGATGCTCTTTTTATTTAAGGGTCCAATTTCATAGAGGAAGATTTCAACCACTACACCTGTAACTCAGTTCCAAGGGGTTAGGGTGACACTCAAAAACAGGGGTAGGGGTAAAAATAATAAATGGGATAGGGCCTATCTCTGGTCCTTGAGGACTGGTGTCCAGCATTTCGGTGATTCCCCAGCTCACACGCACCTGATTCGGCTCATTTGCTGTTTGTTATTTGTCCAGGACTGGAGCTAGAACCCTTCTGGCATGCTCTGCCTGCTCTCATTCTTCTGTCCACCTCACCAGTGAGAACAAAACAGCCTGGCATTTGTGAACCTTTCGAACACTTGCTCTTTATTGCCTCATTTTCTTTCTAGTGCCTGATCCCTGAGTGACCTATTATAGAGCTCAGGGTCCCTTGGTGCTTTTCCCCCGAAGTTTCAGTCCCAGTGGGGTTGACACGGGAGAAGTTTTAGTATGTTTAATGTTCCAACACACTTCAGTTCAGCCGCCTGCTGTTTACTTTACCAGCTCTGGTTTCATCCATTTGCCAATGTGATGCAAATGAAGACGCTGACAATAAATCTCTACAAATAGCGGTAAACAAACAATTCCAGCAAGTACAAAAGCTATTACTGAATTTGAATTACTTTTTGGCGTGTCTTTCATTTTTGAGAAGAGCGTGTAATTAAACGGATCTCAGACTTTTACAAATAGATTAAAATAGATCAAATAAGGAATAATCCGATTTGTGCCGCTTTTCTCTAACTCATAGCATTTTGTTTCTTACAGTTTTGCCTTAATCGTTTTTTTGTTTTTTTTTCACCAGTCTTCCTTTTTTGTTTTGTTTTTTTTTCCTCTTTCTCTCTTCCAACTGATTGCAAATCGACATGCTGCTGCACTTGTTTTATCCACTGGTCCGTAATCATTCAAGCTTGTTACAGATCAGAGGGTCTCCAAAGCCCTAGCTCAGTGCACAGGTGGGCTTGACTTTTCTGACCTTTGCCTACCTCTCCGCTGGTCCTCATTTGTCTTACCCGGTGGGTGTGTTGTCATTGCTTGGTGCTCCCTGCAAGTCATCAATTGACTTTGCAAAATTTGAGAAAGTCAAGGCTCCCTTAGATTTGTTGTTGCAAAGTCCGTCAAGCTTTCAGCTCAGGCTGCCTGATAGTGGAAAAACTTAGAAGCACACTGAGAGCATATGAAATACTGTTCTTCTCTTAGTCTTGGCACTCTAACACTGTGCTCTTTGTTGTGCTCTAATTAACAAGCTCATTGTTGGCTGGGTCAGATTAGGGGAAACACACGAACGTACAGAGCATGGGGTCACCAGGACTGGGATTGGGAACCTATGTATTATAGAATATGGAAAGAATGACTACTAGAAACACCTATGTTGTTCCTCCACTCACTGGCCACTTTATTAGAAACACCTACCCTGTGCATCTGCTCACTGGCCACTTTATTAGAAACACCTACCTTGTACTTCATCTCACTGGCCACTTTATTAGAAGCACCTACCTTGTGCCTTCAATCACTGGCCACTTTATAAGAAACATCCACCTTGTGCTTAATCTCACTGGCCACTTTATTAGAAACACCTGCCTGGTGCATCTGCTCACTGGCCACTTTATTAGAAACACCTACCTTGTACTTCACCTCACTGGCCACTTTATTAGAAACACCCACCTTGTGCATCTGCTCACTGGCCACTTTATAAGAAACATCCACCTTGTGCTTCTATTCACTGGCCACTTTATTAGAAACACCTGCCTGGTGCATCTGCTCACTGGCCACTTTATTAGAAACACCTACCTTGTACTTCACCTCACTGGCCACTTTATTAGAAACACCCACCTTGTGCATCTGCTCACTGGCCACTTTATAAGAAACATCCACCTTGTGCTTCTATTCACTGGCCACTTTATTAGAAACACCTGCCTGGTGCATCTGCTCACTGGCCACTTTATTAGAAACACCCACCTTGTGCATCTGCTCACTGGCCACTTTATTAGAAACACCTACCTTGTACTTCATCTCACTGGCCACTTTATTAGAAACACCTACCTTGTGTATCTGCTCACTGGCCACTTTATAAGGAACATCCACCTTGTGCTTTCAATAACTGGCCACTTTATTAGAAACACCCACCTTGTGCATCTGCTCACAGGCCACTTTATAAGGAACATCCACCTTGTACTTCATCTCACTGGCCTCTTTATTAGAAACTCCTACTTTGTACTTCTACTAAATGGCCACTTTATTAGAAACACCCACCTTGTACTTCATCTCACTGGCCACTTTATTAGAAACACCCTTACTTTCACACAAAAGGTGGATGGAAAACCCTCTACTCAAATGCCATTTGGGGAAAAAAATGTGATTCTGAATAAATGTCTAGAGAAGCTGTGATGTGGATTAGCTAATGAATCCCGGCACTAATGCTGGGCTTACATGTTGGCCGTAGGCATTCAGTGGCTAACTATATATCCATTGTTTTCAATTGAGCAGGGATGGAAAATTCTGCCAGCACCAGCAGCGATTGCAGCGTACTGCACCAGTAAGCGGAGCGATCCCTAGAGTTAAATTTTCCAAACTTTTGTCGTCAACAGTGTGCGTGGGAAAAAAACAGATGACTTTTTTGAGGGCTATGCATGCCAAATGTGTCATTGTTGAAGTCCAGGCACATCCACTGTTATACAGCTAAAAATACGAGAGTACAGAACATCCTCCTGCCCCTTTCCACCTTAAATAAGCAGCTGACACTGCTAAAGCTCTTCTCTGCTAATCACCGGTTTTTACCGGTAATGCTGTCAACATGCCAAGGTTTGCGTGGCCTCATGTCGCTGTCAGTCGCAGACCACCGTGATTCACAGAACGTTTTTTTTCCAACACCGCCATGGAAATGCAGCATATTTCCTGAAGCATTCCTTTTCCTGGAAGGGTTGGTTAGTGAAGTAAAACAAGTCATTAAGTGAAGAGCAGGATATTCCTCATCTGTATCCACTAACCCTGCGTCACGGTCTGCTTTTCCAGACACAGATTAAGCCTAATCCTACACTAGATCAATCTATTAATGGTGAAAAATGATCCACAGTCTAGGACTGTGCCCTTCGTCTCTAAACGAGTCTGACCCGCGCGTGTGTCCGCTCCAGCTCTCTGTTCTTAAGCACCCTGTGGAGTCCATCATTGTTTCATTCTTCTCGCCCTAATTTATTCCTGATTGATCTCCTCTTTGTGCCTGAGTGATCAGGAGACGAAAGGCGTGGTTCACTCCATCCTTCTTTCTCCCCCTGCCGTTCCCCCCCGGGAAGATAATTACTTTCCCTTCATGAAGCCATGGCCCTTTTAGGGTCCGACGTGGGTCAGTCGTTCGTAACTACCTACCTCCTTGGCTTCCTCTGAGGCGCCGCTTCCTTATAATCGCTGGCTTGCTCTTCCACTAATAGCTGCATCGCTTGAGAAGTGCTTTCATTTCATGTTGTCACCGGTTAATTGGCATTTTGGATGTTTATCCGTTGTTTTTTTTTTTTCACCGTGAATTTATCGGCAGCGATCAGCAGGTTCAAAAAAAACCCAAGCTATCATTTTCAAGGGTCCATTTGCAGGGATGGGAAATGGCGTTTGAAGCAGGACTCCCACCTTTAGCAGACAATTACACAGGATGAAATGGTAGGAGAGCTGCAGAAACGCTGGTTTCTGTTTAAGGACACTTCAGATGCACTTCTCATCAGCCGAGCCAGTCTAAACTCGGAGTTATTATAGCCACAGTGGCCACAGAAGTAGGTGGTCTGAGCTAAGCAGTTTCATGGAAACCCTTTGTTGTGTCCGTTGGCCTTCCCACTCCTTCTCGTTTTCCAACAAGGGACCGTTAATTGGCTGATATTTTGTTCACAGCCACCAAATAAGCCACTTCACATGAAAAGGCTCATGTTGCTAATGAAGAATGGAAGCTAGTTGGCAACAATTAGTATTATATTCATGAGATCATTCTAATTTGGTGGATCTTGTAGTTCCCCATTGATGGTGTAGACTGACTTTGCCTGCTGGCCCACCCTGTTTTGTAGCTTAGCCATTGTTAAATGTGCACTATAGGTCCAAAAGTTTGTAGACACTTCCACAACCAGTCGTTCTTCTAAAATTAAGGGTATTAATAGTCTCCTGCTGCAGTAACAGCCTCTGCTCTTCTGGCAAGGCTTTACCCTAGATGTTGGAACATTGCTCTGAGGCTTGGATTGCATTCAGCCACAATTAGTGAGCAGTAGTGAGGTCAGGCACCGATGTTGGATGGTCAGTTCTGGATCACTCCAACTCCTCCCAAAAGTAATGGATGGAGCTCCATCACAGTTTCACTGCTCCACATCCCAATGCTGGGGGGGATTTATACCCATCTAGCCCACGCTTTGCATTGGGCATGGTGACTCATGCTGCTGCTGCTGCAGAGCATCCCGTTCTATTGGTCAGTGCTTTTCTGTGGAGGTTACATAAGCTGTCAATGTGCAGTTGAATGCCTGTGTCAGCAATGGGTGCACCTTAAACTAGTTAAATGCACTAGTGTGTCTGAACACTTTTGGACATATAGTGTAGCTTTATAAATTAAGTGTTAGTGATACACATGAATTTATATAGGTGTCTTTTGTGTTAATATTGGAGTTTACCAGTTACAGTCACTTGGAACGTTTAACGTTAACATTAGCATAATGAGTAGCAACACAGCTGGATTTGATGGTGCATTTGATGTGTGGGCTCAAATATGTGTTGATTTAGCTAAATGGATGAATTGCTGCGAACAAAAATGCAAACAGGCTAAACCCGACAGCAAATCAAATTAATTTGACACACCCTCAATTATGTGTTTGTCTAAATTTAAAAAAAATAGCAGTAATTTAATACTTTATCAACCTTTGTATGGATAACTGTAAAAAAATAATATTTGAGATTCAAATCTGCCTTCTGACACCCACCAAAACCACTAATTAATATGCTGTGCATATCTCTGTCAACAGGAGGCCTGTGGTCAGAAAATGACCAGTGATGAGTGGGGAAGAAGGGGCTGACAAATTGTGCATGAGAACTGGTCTGCAGTTTCTATTTGTACACCTATATAGAGGACCTGTAAGGAAAGTGGAGCTGATGAAGTGGACAGTGAGTGGAGGCACAGGGTGGGTGTTTCTAATAAAGTGGTCAGTGAGTGGAAGCACAAGGTGGGTGTTTCTAATAAAGTGGACAGTGAGTGGAGGCACAAGGTGGGTGTTTCTAATAAAGTGGACAGTGAGCAGAGGCACAAGGTGGGTGTTTCTAATAAAGTGGCCAGTGGGTGGAAGCACAAGGTGGGTGTTTCTAATAAAGCGGACAGTGAGTGGAGGCACAAGGTGGGTGTTTCTAATAAAGTGGCCAGTGGGTGGAAACACAAGGTGGGTGTTTCTAATAAAGTGGCCAGTGGGTGGAAGCACAAGGTGGGTGTTTCTAATAAAGTGGCCAGTGGGTGCAAGCACAAGGTGGGTATTTCTAATAAAGTGGCCAGTGATTGAAGGCACAAGGTAAGTGTTTCTAATAAAGTGTCCAGTGGGCGGAAGCACAATATAGGTGTTTCTCATAAAGTGGCCAGGGAGTGGAATAAAAGGGAATGGGTTTCCTATAAAGTGGACAGAGATTGTATACATGCTGCACTGTGGCAGTCGTGTAAAAGATTACAGACATTGACGTCATACTAATAAAGATCCACCACTTTTGTTGAGCAGTTGTAAAGCCTTGCTCGCATGTACACGATATTAATAGACACATCCAAAGAATGTGTTTGAAGTGTCAAATATTCAATTGCATAAGCAAGCAAGGCTGTTAAAAAAAATACTTATTTAACTTAATTAATACTGACCTTGGAAAGATTAGATGTGTTTTATTTTTAAAATTATTCGCTCGCTCTGTCTTCCTCTTGTCTGTGTAAAAAGCAAACAGGCTTTGAATAGATGGTGGAGCGGAGAGAGAAACATGGCTGCTTCGGCGCTGCCTTTGATAAATGTATTCACAAAGAAATATCAAGGCCGTTTTGGAAATGAATGTCATCCCCGGAGCTGAAAGACAGGGCACTTTGCTGGTTTCTCTGAAAATAACTGGCAGCATTATAAATGCAGGAGGTTGATACTGAGAGGTCTGGACTTCATGGATGATACAGGTTTATTTATCCATGCGTGTAGTTATCTGGGCAGAGCTGGGAGCCAATTAAAGTCATGATCAATATTGGCTCGTCCTCAGGCTTATCACTGTTTCTTACATAGCCTCTCGCTCTCTCTTTCTCTCCTTCTCTCTCCTGCCCTCTGGCTCACCACAGCCCTATCTCACTTACATTCCCCTTGAGACTGTCAGCATTTCTTTATTAGTCCGGCTCCTTGATGCGTTTCATTTGTGAACGCAGACTTTGTTGTCGTGTTCATGGGTCCTGCCGTATGTGATTAATTAAACCTTAGATTTCACCTGAAATCCTGAGTTGGTAACAGTGAACATCAATTCTGCTTTTTAAAAGCAGGTTACGAAGGTGGACGCCCAGGAAAAAGCAGATTAATGGATGGTTTGGTTTAACCACATATGTATACTCTCTGTACTCTTCCTTAAAAATCCCTACCTTGTACATCCATTTACTTATAGGCCTGACAGAATTCTGTCTGTACCCGACTGTAGTCAACAAAATTGTCAGAATCCAACTGTAGTCAAGATTCTGTTTAAACTTGACTGTAGCCAGCAAAATTCTGTCTGAACTCGACTGTAGTCGACAAGATTCTGTTTGAACTGAACTGTAGCCAACAAAATTCTGTCTGAACTCGACTGTAGTCGACAAGATTCTGTTTGAACTGAACTGTAGCCAACAAAATTCTGTCTGAACCCGACTGTAGCTGATGAAATTCTGTCTTAACCTGACTGGGGCTGACGAAATTCTGTCTGAACCCGACTGTAGCTGATGAAATTCTGTCTTAACCTGACTGTGGCCTGTCAAAATTGTCTGAACTCAACTGTAGCCAAACAAATTCTGTCAGAACCCGACTGTAGCTGACGAAATTCTGTCAGAACCCGACTGGGGCTGATGAAATTCTGTCTTAACCTGACTGTGGCCCGTCAAAATTGTCTGAACTCAACTGTAGCCAAACAAATTCTGTCAGAACCTGACTGGGGCTGACGAAATTCTGCCTGAACCCAACTGTAGCTGGCGAAATTTTGTCTTAACCTGACTGTGGCCCGACAAAATTGTCTGAACTCAACTGTAGCCAGACGAAATTCTGTCAGAACCCGACTGTAGATGACAAAATTCTGTCAGAACTCGACTGAACCTGATCTTAACCATCATGCAACTAAATAAAACTTGCATCCTTGGGTGTCTGGTGCCTAAGTTACCTTGAAGTAACAATGAACGGCAACATCCGATCGCTGATCAACAAAACTGCATTGTCCACCTTAACAAATGTATCCAAGAAATTAATACCTGAACATTTTTAGTCCAGATTAACATCACATAATCTTTTGTTCTCATGCTGTAAAATCAGTTTTACTGTATGTCTACTTAAGATATGAGCCTTAAACTTTTTTTCCATTGAGAAATGGGCTGTGAGAAAGCTGAACATGAAAATATTTGACTAGTAATGTCTGATACTCCCCAACATATATATATATTAAGCCTTCCTCACCACAAAGCTTCTGTCTGACTCTGAGGACCCCCTGTTCTTTCTCACTTAAAGACTCTGTGGGTGCGTGCAGTGCTCAGAATGTCCCACTGCCAGTGCTGTACACTGGTGGTCCATAGACTAGGTGATTGCAGAGAGCCAGTTGAAGTTACTCTCGTGGCTGTTAGGATGACGTATTTGGCCAAAGAGTTTATCTTGTGTGGGAAATGGAAGGGCTTCGCCGTAGGTGTCCCGAGACGGCTGAAAAATTAATGAAGAGCCATTTCGTCCACAAGGTCCTTTTATCGTTCCACGCTACGTTGGTGATTTTTATTTGGAGTCTGTCGAGAGTGTGTTCAGTTCTCACTCACACACATACGTCTATCCTCGGTCTCTGTGTAGTGCTACGTGTCGCCATGCAAGGAGCTGGAGGGATCTGTCAAGATGAAAGAGCTTTTGGTCTCCCTCTCTCTGCTCTCGCCCCAATCCATTAAAAATGCATTACTACGTAGTGTATGAAAGTGATGCAAAACTACCTGTCAACAAACTGCAGCAAACAAGCAGCAGACAGTCATACCAGGGAGTGCTGTACTACTAGAGGAGTTCATATTCACCCAGAGCCTGAAATATAATACATGCATCACGACAAGATCTCAGGGCTTTGGGTTTGCTAAGGCCTGCATATCTGAAATGAAATGATTCACAAAACAAGTCGTTTTCACAGTTGTCTTCTTACCACAAAGGTAGTCCATCAACCAAAGTGTCTAAGGTTTGTCTCTCTACTTTTGCACTGGAGCTACACCGAT